CCCCGCCGCAGGGGCCGCCGGGCGCTGTAGTTCCTCCGAGCGGCCGCCTTGGCCGCGGGGCGAGGGGGCTGCTCGGTGATGCAGGCAGCCGCGAAGGAAAAAACAACAAAAAAAAGCCTTTTTGTTTTCTCCCGGTTCAAAATTAATTGGTTTTCCCGACCTGCCTCCTACCGTTCCCCAAGTCACTGACTCCCGGAGTCCCCCGGGCAGCGAGGCGCGGGCGACTGCAGCCGAGCCACGATCCGGAGCGGAACTAATCCGCTGCAACAGGCTCCGCTCCGCTCCGCTGCCGCCGAGCTCAACCGCAGTGTTCCCGGAGTTTCGTTTTGAACGCCACAAGGGACCATCCGGCCTGACCATCTCCACGATGCAGGCCAGTTCTTGTAGAAGAGGGAATTATTCCTCCCTTTTACATAATTAAATACCATTGACCCAGATAACACAAGATTAAAATCCAGAATATCTTTTTTTTGACAAATATCTGACCTGAACTAAAAGACCAAGTCCTGGACAATTCACCATGTACTTTGGTAAACCCTTGCAGGGACTAATTATACTGACTCTCATGAATCTGTATCTTGTTTCAGTTTGGATTCTTCTGCTGTATTAGATTGGCCTGTACTGTCAAACATTGTGTAGGCTCTATTAAATTAACAGTACCCTTTAACCTTCTAGTTGATAATCTGAAGAAACCAAGCTCTTCCATCATTATGATGACCAAGTTTTTCAGACCGCAAGTCATTTTATAGGTCTTCTCTGAACACTTTTCAATTTTTTAGCATTCTTTTTTAAATCTAGATACCAAACTGGGCACAGTATCCAGTGATAGTCTCATTAATGTTGTATACTGAAGTAACATACCATATTTTCCCCGCATGCAGCACACACCTTGTTTTTGAAGGGCGATAGCATTGTTTGACTTATATGCAGGAATCCTGGTTTTCACTGTCTAAAAATCCTAAATTCCCTTATAAAACCCCCAATTCTCCAATTAAAAATCCAAAATCCACGTTCTTCTGTGATTAAAATGAAATGCTGCTATATATATAGATATCAGTTGAACACAACATTTTATTGATATATTTACAATTTTAAAGCAATGTGTGTCCCAGCCACCTGCGGAGGGTTCAGGATTGAAAGTATGGTCGGGGGTAGAAAGGTAAGAAAGGTTTATTGATTTAACAAAAAACACAACTACGCGTAGTAACAAGGCAAACAATGACAGACAAAAGCAATTTGCGTCAGCAATTTATCAACAGTCCCCTCTGACACCCAATTCACAGTAAGCTTCTCTTCCCACAAAGTTCAGCAAAGTCAGGCATCCCCTATCAGCGCCGTCTGAGAGGTACCAGGAAGCACCCTAGAATGCAGTTCTGGGGCTCCTCGAGATCTACGGGCCCACTGATCCAGGCAACAGCTAACTAATCCTTTTCACAGAGCTGTATCTTCCTTCTGAATGGTTTCTAGATATTTCAGCTAATTTATAGCTTCTGAATGGTTCTGATAACGTACAACTACTCAGATTCTTTTTACTTCAACTGTCCTTAGACTAATAGCAGTACAAGCTTTGCATTCTTTTGATAAGGTAATTTTAACTACGCCACAGGGCTTTACTACTTCAAGGCTTTGCTAAATTTACTAGCTTTACTTTATACAAGGCTTCACTACATCTTAAACTTTAATTAGGCAACAACATATAGCTTAATCTCTAAATAAATGCAGAAAAACACTTAGTCTAATCTTCATAGAGCCTTCAGCAAGCACCTTTATCACACAGACATAATTTTCAGCTGTCACAAATATGGAAACCTACCAGTGCCTCAGTCATTATAATAAAATAAATTCTAAATACCTATAAATTTTGTCATTTGATTTTGGTTTTATCATGGAAAATCAGAACTACCCTTGGCCCCTTCACTCACCAGTATGCGAGTCAACCTGCGGCTATCTCCCACCCGCCCAGCTGCTTTGTGGTGCTGAGCAGCCCTGATATGCCAGTGCTCTGCCCCTGCTCATGCCAGTGCCCCTCACTCCCAACCCATAGCCTCCATCCCTACTAGTGCGCCTCACTCCCAACCTACTGCCTCCTGGCCCTGCTGATGCCCCTCACTCCTGACCCACAGTCACACCACTCCCCCAGGCCATGCTAGTGCCCCATACGTCCAACCTGCAGCCCCCTGTCCCTTCTGGTACCACTTAGTCACAGCCCCCTCCCCAACTCCCCAGCCCTGCTGGGAGTGGGGGCTCTGAGCTACCCCTGCCCCTCCTGGCCACATGCAGACTTACAGGATGGTGGTCTGTGGGTACAGCCTCCAGCATGAGGTGCATGCAGTGCCCATCCTGCCTGGGCTAGAGCACAACAGCAGCAGCTCCAATTTATGCAGGTGGAGGTTGAGTGAATCCAGCCCGTGTGGGCTGGAGGAAAGAGGAGGGGATGCCTGTGACACCTCCTGCCCCAGGCTGGGGTTCCCTCACTTCGTCTGGTGGCCTGGCCACAGCCCTCCCCAGGCAGCATCTGACAGCCGCCCTGTCCCTGCCCCTGAGAGCACAGGAACTGGCCCCAGTGCTGCCAGCCCAGCCACACAGCTGCCCACCGCCCCCTAAAGACCCCCATTTTTCTGCTGGAGAGGCAGGCACCTCTGGGTAGGCCCTGCTGACAACAGCACAGAGCACCAAGCACTGCCTCAGACCCCCGTGCCCTGCCGCAGCCCCGGCGCCAAGAGACCTTCCCCGAGCCCTGACAAACATCCCAGGCTGCCCCACCCACATCCCCTCCACACACCCTAGCCACACAAACATACACATATGCTGCACACCCCCCCGAGACAGTACCCAAGCCCTGGCCCTCCAATCCGCCCCATAGACTTACCTGAATCCAGCTGCCTAGGCTGCTCCCACCACCCTGCCTAGCTGTATGCTGACCACATGCATGTGGCACCCCTTGTTTCCAGTCACCCTCCCCCCACTCTCCCCAACCCCAAACAGCAACTTGCAGGCTGGAAAGCTACCAGCCTGCAAGGTGAAAGCTATGGTTTCCTGCATTTTTATCTTTTAAAAGGGGAAAACCCGTGATTTTCCCCCTTTATAGGAGAAAATCCACAGTTTTCCATGTTTTTCTGTGGGAAATGGAAAGCCCTGATCCCTGCTGATAAGGGACCCTAGTCAGCTGAGCTGACTTCCCATCCCCAGCCTGATCTAGTGCGTGGGATGGGAACTCAGTCCAGCTGAGCTGACTTCCCAACCCTAAAGCGATGGTCATGCTGGGGTTGGAAACTCAGCCCAGCTGGGCTGAGTTCCTTTTCCCAGCATGATGATCTGGCGAAATGTCAAAACAGCGTTGAAACAGCCTTCACAAAGTGAAACAGAACAGCTGTTTTGCCTCAAAATGCAATTTGAAACAAAACGCTGTTCCATTCAAACCTCGAAACTCAAGTCGAAACGGAACAGTGCCATTTCACACAGCCCTACCGCAGAGACACCCCCCCCACCCTGGTTGCTGACTGGCCACTGGGGGGGCAATGCCCTCCCCCCCCCCCCCCCGACTCAGGAGGCACCTGTCACCCATGGTCCAGGGCCTATGCCAGGTCTACCTCCCCACCACTGCCAAATTTATGGACCTGTGGGGATTTGTTTTTCCTCACATATAATACTCACCCCAGTTTTTCCCACTTGGGCTTGGGGGGAAAAAGTGCAGGTTATATGCCAAAAAATATGGTGACATGATTATTTTCTATTCCCCTACATATAGGTTTCCAGGTGAAAAGGAACCAGCCTATCGAATCTCATGCTTACACTGGAAGTTGGTAGTGCCTTAAAGAAACACATAGTTCTACTTGTGTAGATGAACATCAGTGTGATATAAACTCTAATATGGTATGTGTGCATTAATTACTTCGGAATACACTGAACTTAACACTGTATACAACATCACTTGGGCCAAGAGACAAAATTCTATATAAATTACAAAATCATATAGACTTAAAATAAACAAATCAGAAACTAGACTCAGAAGCAGAATCTCTGGTGATAGAATTCTATCACAAGTCCCAGGAAATTATGGCTGTTTCTGGAAAAAAACACAGCAGGTTTTAGGCAGTCATTGAGGTGATATTTCCTGTGTTTTCATAGGAACTAATATATATCACATTACACTTATACACACTAATAGTTACTTCAGTGGATATTATCAAGGTGGGGACAAATGAGACTAACCTAAGTAATTCTTGCATGACTAAACAACTAATAGTTCAACACTGAGGCATTTTTACCTGACAAGAGAGCTCATTGGGATTTGAGTACCCCTCCACTTCTCATAGGGGAAGGCATGCTGCAGTAGCTGTTTTATGGATCACCACCTAGGGACTTTGCCTTCTGGGTGCACAGCACACTTGAGATTCTACTTGTCCACAATGCCATACAATTTGCAATTGAAAAAATGTATGCATCCTCCAGAAGCACTGTAAGACCTTTTATTTTGGGCAGGTATTTATCAGGTAAGGCTTAGCTAAGGGAGTGTTTGAGAAATGTATGTTATATATCTTATTTACTATTTATCTGCTTTTACAAGTTATTTTGGTTTTTTTATTGCAAGCCACCCAGAGCCGGGGGGGGGGGGGGGGGGGGGGCAGCATATACATC